TATATGTCGTTCTAGTTACGATTTTAACTTAAACGAGTTCAAACTCGCCAATTTGTACTAAATCGATATGGACGTCGTTACTTCGTTACGGGAACGATTTCAACATCGTTATAAAACTCAGTGAAGCAATGTATATTTCATACTGAAACGATATTGAAGTCGTTGTTGATTACATGAATGATGTCCATATCGTTATGAAAATTAGCGTGTATTTTATATTGAAACGATATCCAAGTCGTTTGTTTGTTACGTGAACGATTTCAATATCGCTACGAAGATCAGTGAAGAAGTGTGTATTTCATACGAAAACGATATTGAAGTCGTTTTTTATTACAGTAACGATGTCTATATTATTATGAAAATCAGTGTATATTTCATATTGAAACGATATCCATGTCGTTTCGTTGTTACAGGAACGAATTCAATATCGTTACGAAGATCAGTGAAGCAGTGTCTATTTCATATTGAAACGATATTAAAGTCGTGTTTTTATTATAGTAACGATGTCTATATTGTTATGAAATCAGCATGTATTTCCTACTGAAACGATATCCAAGTCGTTGTTTTGTTACGAGAACGAATTTAATATCGTTACGAAGATTAGTAAAGCAGTGTCTATTTCATATTGAAACGATATTGAAGTCGTTTTTTTATTACAGTAACGATATCAATATCGTTATGAAAATCAACGTGTATTTTATACTGAAACGATATCCATGTCGTTGTTTTGTTACGGGAACGAATTCAATATCGTTACGAAGATCAGTAAAGTAGTGTCTATTTCATGTTGAAACGATATTGAAGTCGTTTTTTATTACAGTAACGATATCTATATTGTTATGAAAATCAGCGTGTATTTCCTACGGAAACGTTATCCAAGTCGTTTCTTTGTTACGGGAACGAATTCAATATCGTTACGAAGTCCGACGATGCCACTCGAATAGCTTAGAAAGAACGAACAGAGATACTTTCTTTTGACCGGAATAGTTCGAAGGTTATATACAGTCATGGGAACACAAATGTTCCCATAGTTTCTCTTGAGTGAGATCGAACTCACTTGATGACAATTTTCGTACTTGATGACATAAATATCGTTTTGTGTTTTTGGAACGATTTCAATGTCGTTATGAAAATCTATGCATTTTTCATATTGGAACGCCACAAGCGTCAATTATAATGATATAAAAGTCGTTTGTATGTAATATGAAAAAACACAACGACAAAAAATGACTTTAATTATGTTCTAGCACGAAAGCGAAAATAACACGATGGCTACAAAATTCAATAAATCATTTTGTGCTTCCAATAAATACAAAATAACAAAGTTACAAGTCGCGACAATTGTATAACTTTAAGTTTCACTACCAACTGTTTGACATTTACAAGTGAAGCAAACATGACCGATTTTCTTACAGTTAGAGCATCGGATGTTATAGGAACAAAAGTTGACATCTCTATTTTGTTTAGCATTGTATCGACCTTCAACATCTCTCTAACTTTATCATACAAGTTCACAGAAGAAATTATTTTCGAAACAAAAAAAACAAATGTTTTCCCTTTGTCATTCACTGCATATTTCCATTCTCAAACGCCTTCAATTGACTACTCATATTCAACTAGAAGTCAAATTGAATCCATAACATATCCATGATGTCCATAACTGCAATTAAACATAAAAATTGTAAAATTTCATCAGATATCAAACTTAGTACATTATTGATAACGAGATGTAAGTCGTTATAGTTTGCAGAAAATGATATGTAAATCGTTCTGGACGGAAAAATTGTATGTTTCACAGTAGAGCAGCAACATTATTTACCAGCATATTCACTTTAGAAATAAGAGGTAATAAGAAAAAAAATTGGTGTGTTTTACCAGCACATTCACTTCAGAAATGAAGGGTAATAAGAAAAATTGAAAAACAACCCATATCAAAGCTCTAATTTAATGATAAAATGAATTCAAAGCTATTATTGACAAATAAACACCATAAACACAATCACAACAAGTGATTCAGAAAAATTAAAAAAGAAAGTAGTCAAAATATTGAAATTTAATATTACCTTCTCTTCTTCTTCAAATGCCCATCAAGAATATTGTAAATTTTGATTACTTACTTCAACCAAGTGAGTGTTTAAGAGGATGCTAATAGTAAATTTTAGGATTTGATGAAGAGAAGATGATAAAAATGAAGAAAAGTTACAGAGAGTTGTCGACCCAATTATGGAAGAAAGAAAGCCAAAATTAATTTAGAGCTAAATGGAAATTGAAAGGAGAATTTGGGCATTATGTCTTTTTACATAGGAGGATATTTTAGTAATTTACAAATTGTATTTTCTTTTTGTTTGTATCTTGAGGCCATCTAACTAAAAAACTTGGTGGACTTTTTAAACTAAAACTTGGTTTGACTAGGCTTATTAAATGAAGTCCCCTTTGATAATCCTTATCGGTGTACCACTTGGTCTGATCATCCGAATTCCTGTTCCACGCGCTCGCTCATGCCTGGAAAGAGAGCTTTCTCCCATTGAAGAGAATTGAATTGGTTATTCTTTCCTCCGAGCATCGCCTCTTATCCAGCAACTCCTGTATTGAGTTGCCAGCCATCTCGTCCAACCCTAACTGCTCAACCCCGAACCAATTGGGATGAAACAAAATTTCAGGACAACAAAATCTTTCTACGCCAAAGTACAATCTGGAAATCTCCCTTCAGTCCCTTGGTTAGAGGACGAGAAAGTGGTGCCTCTGCAGTAGAAGACCCAGATTCTGCCTTGAAAATAAATGTTGGATTGATTTAAAGTAATTCACAAGTAATGTGTCTGTACAGAGGAAATGAAAACGAAAAGTAGCAAGTCGAAAACCCAGATATTAATTACACACCTGGAGTCGAGAAGTAACACGGGCCAGCTCTGCTTCACCCAGATCTGGCTGGTCAATGTCATCGTTTAATCATTATCCTGGCTCATTAGCTAGTAGAGCTGCCAATCTTCATCTTTCATACCAAAAGTAAAGCCCCCCCTCCCCATGTCAAATGCTGCTGTAGGTTTCATCGTTCTCATTTCAAAAGCTAGTATCATTTAATTAAGAAAGCAACGGCAGAAATAACACAGACATAAAAGACACAAGTCTTCAATATGAACAGAACTCGATCCCAATAGCTAATTGTTGGATAGAAGATGCAGCAGAACATTGAAAAGTATACATGCAGTTTATGAATTTCCTTAAACTAGCAAGTCAGTGAAAATGCACGTCAAGATATGATCAATCTGATATGAATATCAAAGAAACGCACCATCCAAATATTCTAGTTAATCCTAGTCCAAGGGATGTATAAAGCTCTCTTATTAGTAACACGTAAATGAAAACAGACACAGATCTTGCCTAGAAGAATACCAATCATCTGCACGTTCTAGCCTTAGGATAGCTCAATAGTTGCATTATTTTAATCAACAAGCAATTTGTGCTTTCTTCTTTCCTTTCTTGCCATCAATCTGCATGCCCTTCCCCAAAATCATCCTAGATAGAGTATCTGCTTGTTTTGTGTTCCCCTCCTCGTTAAGGCTCTTGATCAAGTCTTTGCAGCTACTCCAATCAGTTACACCTCCTTTCTCCAATATCTTGCATAAAATCGAATATGCATTGAGAGTCTTGCCGGCAGCTAAAAGAGCATCTAAAACCTTATCATAGCTTGAAAAGTTGATGTTGCAATCTCTTTCCAAACCAAAATCCAACAGTTTCAGAGCAGAAATTGTCTTCCCTTTCTCACAGAGAACAGATAAGAGACTATCAAAATCTGGTGCAAGACCATTAACCATCAGCAGCTCAATTCTTCCAATGGCTTCTTCAACATGACCCCTCATAAGAAGAGCTTCCAAAATCTTAGCAATCAAGTCTTCATGATCCTTCAGCCCCTTCTCCAACATAGTCTTCATGACTCGGCTTGCAGTCTGAATCCTGTCATCTTCAAACAAGCTCTCCATCACTGATCTATACATGGATGAATCTGGGAGATGACCATTCTCTATCATGCTATCCAAAGTTGTCTTTGCATCAGCAGTCTCATTCTTCTTCAGGTAGCTCTCAATGAGTGATTCATAGGCACTTTTTTCTGAAAGAACATTTCTCCTTATCATGATATTAAGAATTTCAAAGGCTGGATCAGGATTTCCTTCCTTTGCATGCCCACGGATCAGATTATTTAAAGCAACAGGATCTTGAACGCCCATTTTCATCAACTGTCGCAAAAGGATTTCTGCTTTTGATGTCTGGCCATTGCTGCAAAGATACTCAATAATTGGGTTATATGCACTAGGCTCCATATGCAAAGTACTTTGAGGCCTCAAAATGATCTCCTTCTCAATGAGCTTTTCCAACAACTTAACAGCATGATCATATTGACCAGCCTTGCAGAAATTCTCGATCAGAATACCATAATGCCCTGCTTCTGTCGGAACGCTCAACCTAATCATAGCCTTTAGAACATCCATGGCAGCATCCAAATCACCTGCCTTGCACTGGCCAGATATTAGCCTAGTAAAGATCGCATTATCCTTAGATTCAATGTACTTCTCCGCCATCTCCTTCAAAATACCCCGAGCCTCAAACATCTTCTCTGCGTCACATAGTCCAGATAATAGGGTTGAGTATGTAATGGCATTGGGTTTAATCCCAAAACTCTTCATTTCCTTCAACAATTTCAATGCATCATCGACCCGCTCAACTGACATGTACCCTTTAATCAATGTTGTATAAGTAATAACTGTAGGCTCAATGTTCCTCCCCTTCATCTCCACAAAGTACTTCTCCGCCTCGTCCATTTTTTTAACCCGATGGTACCCATTAATCAATGTATTATATGTGACCACATCCGGTGAAATATCCTTACTCTTCATATCCTCGAAAAACCTATTCGCAGTCTCGACCTTCCCTGAGAGAAAGAATCCCCAGATCATGATATTAAAAGTGTGTGTGGTTGGCTCAATCCCCTCACCCAACATCTTATTAAAATACCTCTTGGCCATCATATACCGACCTCTACGCATAATCACCTTAAACAAAGTATCATATGATTTTATCGTCCTTCCGACCCCTAATTCCTCCATTTTCTGAAACAGCTTCACACTCTCCTGAACTATGCCCGCCTTCCCATATCCTTCAATCAACAAAACCCACAAATCTTCATCCCATTCCACACCCTTTTTTGGCATATCCAATAAGATGCACCTAGCGTGGTTGAGCTTCGAAGCTCGCCCCAAAATCTCGATCATTTTTAAATGGGTCTCTCTGGTGTGTTGAAAAAGTCCGGATCTTTCAACCCAGCGAAAGAACTGGAGAGCATGCTCTGAGTTCTTGGAACCGTGCAACACATTGTAAACAACTTCCTGATCGAAACTCGGGACCAAGTTCCGTATTGATTTCTGCAAACGAGTCGTCCAGGCTCGATTGGCCATCATTCTGTTAACACACTCATTAACTCCATTCTTCATTGTAGATGCCATTAGTTCTTGGTACAATTTTATTATGTCTGATGATAATGGAACTGCACTGCTTACTAACTCAACCAGAACATCAGATGCCCATGATCCAGTACCTGGCCAATTTAAAACAGAAGATATTCAGAAATAGTTTTAACTAAATCAAGTTACATAATGCAATTATAGTTACAAATCAAGTTACATAATGCAAAGTAAAACAAATTCTACCCTCAATTCAACTATTCAAGTTACAAATCAAGTTACATAATTCAAATTCTACCCTCAATTCAACTATTCAAGTTACACAAGCAGAACAAAACAAATTAATACCATCAACCTTCATCTAACCAAAACAAATTACTCAATGCTTTTTCTCTTGGGCTGCCAATGCAAAACATATTAAAAAACATTTTTTTAAAGTTTTGGGTTGGGCCCAAAAGGCCAATGCAGTAGGGATGGCAAAAAAACCCGACAAACTCAATACCCGCGGGCTCATAACCCGCTTAATCGGGTAACGGGTACAGACCTGCGGCCAAAAATTACCCTTGGGCATGAATCATCGGATGGGAGTGTAGATAGGGATGGAAAAAAAACCCGATACCCGCGGGGTCCCGCCCCGAACGGGGCGGGGATAACCCGCTTAATCGGGTAACGGGACGGGGAATTTTGCCCCAAGGCAGGTTCGGGGTAGGGACGGGTAACTGGGGCCCGCCCCGCCCCGCCCCGTTAAATTTTTTTTTTATTATTTTTTTTAGAATTCAATACTTTAAATGAAAATTTTCATTAATTCTAATACAAAATAGCAACTAAAATTATTTGTCTAAATCTAATGAATATGGGCAATAAAAATAAATTTAAAAAAAATAAAAATTCAACAGGGAATAAACGCCCCGCCCCCGCCCCGCCTCGCCTTAAATGGGTAACGGGGCAGGGGACGGGGAGGGCCCCCCCGCCCTGCCCATTGCCATCCCTACAATGCATAAGTAAATCATGAAGTAATGTGGCTTTCCCACGTGATGTATATCATTAGTGTTTTTGAAGTGTTGTGCATATGTATAAAAAGTGTTGTGCGTATGGATTCCCACGTAATTTTACTAATACATTTTATGTATGAACTCGTGTCTTTACTGCATGTCTAGATGACTAGATGCATATGTATAAAAAAAATTCCATTTTGCTTGTATTCTTTGGTTTTAGCTGAACGCTAAATGATGGTAGTTGTAAAGTTAAATATCTTTAACATCTGAATAGAATTTTGAAGCTGATAATCGGTATGTTGAGCAAAAAAATAAAAAATCATGAGGAAAAAGTCGGTTTTCATTGAGCTCGCTTTACTCTTGTGGCACAGTAAACTCTCATCAATTTCATGCCTTGTGGTTGGTCTAAGAATTGGAAGCAGGATACAACATAACTATGGATTGCAACTTTTTACTTGCTGGACCTTGTTCATCTAGAAAGTAATTTTATTTGAATGGAGTAATATAAAGAAACTTGGGGGGCCAAATGACCTGACTTCACTTCCAAAGTCCTCACCAATCCGCTGTTGGTTATAATGCAAAGTTTTTTTTTTCTTTTTTTTTTATTTATTTATTTTGTAAGATATAGGACCATATCGAGGATCAGTTTTAGGTTGATCATGCAAGTGAACTTCTGTGGTGGACCAATGGCCACACCAATTGGGAAAGGTCATCGCTCTCTTAATATGCCAATGTTAGACCCTGCTACAGCCTACCTGGGTACAAGACTAGGCCCCCGTTTAGTACGGATTAAAACCAAATTTTAATCCAAGTCAAATTCAATAATTAATTTCAACCACATATTTCTTGGGTCCCACGACTTTTCAACCACACATTTCATCAACTTTTATCTAAATCAAAATCTACTAAAAATCTGATTTTGGTCCCTACCAAACAAGGGCTAAATACGATGATGTAAAACTCATCACCATCCATAAAAACACTGGTGGTCTTGCAATAAAGGCAATGTACGGTGTTAAAATACCAAGCTCAAGCCTGCCAATTGATGCAAGATCAACAATGCCAATGTCAGCACCAATTAATCCAAGGTGGCAATCAAGGTTAGCTGAGAGGAAACCATCCTCTGGAAGACACGAGAGAGAATTGTGATAAAGGATAGAGGAATATTCTGCCAGTGGAGCAAATGGCCCCATTTTTTCTGTTAGCATCTTTATGGTTATTTGTTTCCTTTTAGTAGCCAATCATTTTTAGTTTGTTTGTATAGTAGTTGGCGATTGTATTTTTTTCTCTTCTCTGATTCTATATATATATATAGATGATTGTACAGATTAATATATCAATCAGTAAGTTATTCCTTCAACAATTTTCTCTGCATATATGCTTCTCTGCCTTTGCTGCCATTACTTTTCTTATATGGTATCAGAGCCAAAACTATGGCTGATACTCAGAGCATTGCTGTAGATTCAACTACTAATCCAAACACTGACCAAAATGCCAACACGAATCCAACTGCAAATGTTCAGCATATTCCAAATTCAAATGACCCAACTCATCCTTGAAGCCCCTACTACATTGGTGGAAATGATAGTTCAGGTGCAATACTAATTACTCACATGCTTGACAATACCAATTATTATGCTTGGGAAAGATCCATAAAACGAGCTCTCCGAATAAAGAATAAACTCGGTTTCATTGATGGAAGCTTGTCCGAACCAGTAGACCCCAATAGCTTCTTGAGGAGCACTGGCTCCGCTGCAATGACATAGTGATTGCTTGGTTGCAAAACACGATGTCCATTGATGTCAAATCCTGCGCCTTATATGCTAATACAGCTGGCGAGCTGTCGCTAGACCTAGAATATCAACTGGGACAGCAAAATGCTCCAAGAGTTTATGAGGTAAAACAGGCCATTATCACTTTTAACACAAAATCAAGATATTGTAAGTGCCTATTTCTCAAAATACAAGACACTACTTGATGAACTAATGAACTATGAATCCATTCCTAATTGTACATGTGGAGGTTTGAAAACTGTTATTGAAAACCAGCAAAGAGACTGGGTTATGAGATTTTTAATGGGGGTAAATGACTCGTACAAATCACTCAAGGCTCAGATTCTGTTGATTAAGCCATTCTCTACCCTTAATGAAGTATACTCTGTAATTCAGCAAGAAGAAAAGAGACAAATTTCAACATATTTTTCCATGTCTGATTCAATGGCACTAGCAACCAGAGGAACTTACAATAATGCAATGAGATAGAATGGAGCAACACAGAGGAAGTATTATTGTAGTTTCTGCAAGAAACCTGGACATTCACTAGAGAAATGCTTTAAAGCTAATCCTACCAAACCTGTTTGTAGCCATTGCCATATGCCTGGACATTCTGTGGATAAATGCTTTAAAATCCATGGGTATCCACCTGGTCACAAATTACATGGAAAGGGAAGCTCCTCTGCAAACTTAGTCTCTTCACTAGGACAGGGAGATGCTAGCAACAGCAATCAAGTAACATTCATTCAAGAGCAGCATGCACAGCTTCTAGCCCTACTCAAGTCACAAAACATCCTGCACCTCAATTCACCAACTCCCACAGACACTCAGATCCCAAAAATCTCTGGTATCTCAGTTTGTCTTTCTGTTTATAGCACCAAACCTAGCAACATTTTAAAAACACCATGGATAATAGACACTGGAGCTACAGATCACATGATCTGCTCCACTTCTTTTTTTACCAGCATTCAAGCCAAGGTTACTAACTCGGTTTCTCTTCCAAATGGTGATGTTGTTAATGTGACACACATAGGAACTGTGCAAATCACAGAGAATTTGATCCTACATAATGTGCTTTGTGTTCTTTCATTTTCATTTAATCTAATTTTTGCCAGAAAATTAACACAAACATCCAAATGTTGCCTTATATTCTTTTCTAAAAATTGCTTTGTGCAGACCTTTCGACTTGGAAAACGATTGGAATGGGTAAAGTGAGGAAAGGTCTGTACCATCTGCTGCAATGTAGAGTCTCTCCTTCAGCCCCAACAGAAGCTCTTTTCCCTTTTTCAATTAGAAGATCTATGTCAGCAGCTGTTTCTATTAATACTAAAGACTTTGATCTCTGGCATTATAGGCTAGGGCATCCATCCTATTCTAGATTAGACCTGATGGATCTAAATATTTTCTATCCATAGTCGATGATTTTAGTAGATGCACATGGGTCTATATGTTGAAAAACAAATCAGATGCTGCTGCTACTTTGCAATGTCTCTATGCCCTGATAAAAACTCAGTCACAAATAAAGGTCATTAGAACTGCCAATGGTGGGGAGTTTGAAATGAAAGACTATTACCATAAAATGGGGATCACACACCAGAAAACTTGTGTCAAAACACCTCAACAAAATGCGGTTGTTGAACGAAAACACCAGCATATTCTTAATGTTGCAAGAGCCTTAAAGTTTCAAAGTGCAATTCCAATGAAATATTGGAATGATTGTATTCTTACTGCAGTTTACCTTATAAACAGGACACCTTCGCCCCTTACTAGACAACAAGACCCCCTTTGAACTTTTATTCAAACGCAAACCAAACTATTCACATCTCAAAGTCTTTGGATGCCTTGCTTTTGCATCAACATTAGCTAGTCACAGAGGTAAATTTGAACCAAGAGCCAAAAGATGTATATTTCTGGGGTACCCTTTTGGAATAAAGGATATAAACTTCTTGACCTTGAAACCAAGAAAGTATTCATCTCAAGAAATGTGATATTTTATGAAAGCATCTTTCCTTGCAAAAGTAGCAGTACACGTGATGCAAATGAAACCAAGTTGTTGCAACATATTCCTACTAGTACTATCACAGAACTTCATGCTCCTCCTACAACCACATTTCATGAAATAGAGGCAAGAAACCAGCCAGAAATAGAAACTTATCATACTGACTTCTCACCACTTCATAAGTCAGAGAACTATCCTGCAGAACCAAATTTTCAAGTGCAAGAACCAAATTCTCAGGTGCAAGAACCAGAACCGTCTCACAGTACCATGAATAGCCCTCATCTACCTAGTAGGTCTTCAAGAACTAAGAAAACTCCTACTTATCTGGAGGACTACATTTGCCAGCAGGCCTCACCTTCCCCACTTTC